TCTCGGCCCCCGCGCCTGCCTTGAGGAGGAACAGGGTGGACCTGCAACTGGTTTAACAAGACGCTTACTGATAGGAACGTGTATTAAGGGCTTCTCCTGCGACAGGCATTTCTCATGGATCATCTCATTTGTCACAGCCACCTTCTGAAGCACAGAAAGTCTCCATTTCATAGTAGGGGAAGCTGAGGCCAGGCAGTTAATTGACGTGTATGAGGTCACACAGCTTGTGGCAATAAAACTGGTAGACACAGGTCATGGAACTGCACAGCCGGACCAGTTAACCTTGGTGCCCTCCCATTCAGAGGAGCTCTTATATTTTTATATATCTTTCCCTCGCTTACAGTCGGCTTCCCAGGACATTCTTGTATAAACCTGCCCTACACCTCTTACGTTTCCCCGGAGCACTTCCTTCTGGAAGACACGTGGCCGACTGCTCTCCCCGCTGGTCAGACCCTCTCTGCGGCCCCGGAAGAACTGAAGGCCCTCATTCTCGGGTCTGGCGCGCCTCTGAGTTCTTCCGTAGCCTCTAGTTCAGTCCCACTCGCATGAGGGCCCCAGAAAGGGGGGGGATTCGAGATGAGTGCACGCGTTCTTGCTCCTCTCCTGCCCACTTCCCAGTCGGCTTGACGCGGACATTTGGGGTGGAATCAGATTTTCCACCCTGGCCTCCTCCCTCTGCGCAGCTTAGAAAGTGCTTTTATTGACCCTAGAAAACATTCTGCCTACTTTAGAAAATGTGTCTGGAATCTTTCATGAAGTCACTTTATTTTCCTCCTTGGCTGACTTTCTGGTTTGGACCACAGTCAGGAAGAAGGTCAGTTGAGGTGAGGCAGATTTTAAGTGTGACCTTAGACACAGACAAACAATTGCTCAAACACTGTTAACTTGTTTGGCATTTGGGTCCCAGTAGGGACACAGGCAAACAAAGGAAGTGATCTTGAAAAGAACACCCTTCTCAGCACAGTGTCTAGGCAAGCCCTATGCCTGGCCCAGGGCAGTAGGCTCGTGGTCCCCACCCGACACCCTCTACCGCTGCGCCTGGCCAGGGACTAATGTCCGCTGTTCCCGTAACACTTCATCTCTGCATCTTCTGAAGGGGTAGTCACAGCAGGGCTGTAACCCCCTCCTCGAAATGGTCCCTGTCCTGGTTTCTGTTTCCTGGTCTTCATGAACCCCTCCCAATGCCAGCCTGGCTTTCTTCGCCCTCTGGGCCAGGGCTCAGGAGCCATGCAAAGCCCGTGCACAAAGCCAGCCAGGAGTGGCAGGACATGTGGCTGACCAGGGCTCGTCTGCCCCATCGAAAGAGGCGGCCACTGTTCAACCCCAGGCCATTTTTACCAAGAAGAAATACAGGTCCAGTGTTCCAGAATATCCATTTTCCAAAAGGAATGGGAAAACTTGACTTTTATGTGATGAGACATTTCCTAGTCTTTAAATGTTTGGCAAGTAATTAAAAGTATTTTAAAGCACACTATAAGGGCCAAACAAAATGTCTGAGGCTTGGGGCCTGTCTCAGTTTTACTCTCGCTCCCTCTGCACGATCTCGCCTGCCCTGGCAGTTTCAACTCTTGCTCTCTCATCAGCTGTTGAGGTCTCAGAGGTAGATCTCTAACCCTGCGCCGCACCCCAGACTTACACAGCCAGTCACCTCCATGTGGGTGCACCTCAAATGCAAAGCTGAGTTCACCAACCTCCCAAATCTGCACACTGGAGATCTTGAGAAATGTTAGATGTTGCTGTTTCATTCCTCTGACAAAAACGCTATTGCTACTTCCATTAATATTAATATTAATACTACCCCCAGTAATCTGTTGCTCTTCTTGTACCTATTTCTGCTCCCCTACACATCACTCTGTCCGGGCCAGCACCACAGCCTCAGGGACCTTGAGCTCCCTCCTTCCCCCGGCGTCCGGCTGTGTGGATGGTGTTTATTCTTCTTCCACGGGCCCTGCAGGACTTGCTCCCGGCTTTTCCTTCCCACTAACCAGGCTCCTCCCGTTTCTGAACCTGTCATTTCTTCTCAGCTTTAGTCTCAACCTCAACTGTTCACCCGCCACCAATGTCTGACCCCTCCGTTCAGGCTTGATTCATCACACTGTGGCAAGAGTCACCTCCCAAATCACAGGGCAGCTCTAGTCACTCACCTCGTCAGACACTTTCGATGCGTCCTACTGGCTGCCCGTCGGTCCCTCAACCATCCCCGCGTGCCAGCCGCACCACGCCACGTGCTTCTCCGCCAACACGCCGGGCGCCTGCGTGCCCCTGTGCCGACTGGTAGGCGTGACAGAGGAAGACAGCTGTGCCCCTGTTATTTCTGTTCATCTGCCTCAGCCCTCATCCAGTGCCACCTCCTGCGTGAAGCCATTACTTGCCTCCTCACCCCAGCCCAGCGCTCGTAGCCCATCCCTCTTCAGAGTCCCCCCAGCATTTTGCTCTGTCCTCATTTCGTCCAGCTGTGTGTTACAGATGACGTGTGCTTGCCCCTCCCGCTTCTCTTGATCAGCTCCTTCCTCCTCGCGCCACCCCCACTGTCCTTGTCCTCTGTGTGTCTACACAAGGCCTAATGCACTGCCTTGTGCACAGGGACACCTGTAAACCTTTGTAAATCGAACCGACCTAAACTTTAAGTGGAGGATGGCTGTATCCGAGGGCTCAAGACGAGATACTTACAGTGAAAACCAAGTGCCTTGTTACTCAAAGAGCTTATTAGAACCCTACGAGAAAGTGTCAAGCTAGCGAAAGGGTTATTCTGCCTGCCTCCTTTTCCAGGGACGCAGTTTTTAGCGGAGCAGCCGCCAAGATTCGGTTTCTTTTTCCTCAGGCAGTACCTTTCCGCCCTGCCCCGTGAAGCTTGGCTGCAGTGCTGGGCAGGGATGAATGGGCAAGGTCTCCTGGGCACTGGCGTTTCTGCCACCCTGGCACTGAGAACCGTGCACTGTTCCCCTTGCCCAGAAGAACAAGTTGTACCCACATATTCACAAGCTATCCTCAGCTAGCATCATTGGCAGGCCTGGGAATTTCCCACAAGCCACCTGGATCTGTTTTCCTGTCCTTGTATTCTGAGTTTTTTTTTGAAACACAGTTTTTTGTTAATTACTTCTTAGAACAGACACTGCCAAACACTGCTCATCTATCAGGGGTTGTATCCCACTGATTTTCCAAAAGAGAGAATTTCTTTTTTCAGACTTTTTATTTATTTATTTACTTACTTATTTACTTATTTACTTACTTACTTTTAGAGAGGAAGGGAGAGGGAGAGAGAGATAGAAACATCAATGAGAGAGAACATTGATTGGTCACCTCCTACATGCCCCCCACTGGGGGTTTGACCCACAGCCTGGGCATGAGCCCTGACTGGGAATCGAACCGGCAACCTCTTGATGCATGGGTCGAGGCTCAATCACTGAGCCACACCAGCTGGGCTACCTATTTCTTTCGTGTGTGTATTTTCCCTTTCCTTTCTGAGTGGCTAATAGGAATACTCCCGACATCCGGGGAGAGCCCAAGCAGCATGAGCCCCTCGCTCTCACAGAACTGAGTTATTTATGAGACACCTATGTCCAGACTCTGCGCTGACCACCATGTGCCTGGGGAGCCCTGACCCTCCTTTCACCCTCAGGCCCCACTTCCAGTGCAGCAGCACTGTGGCCTTGCGGTCCTCGTCACCCGGAAAGAGGAGAGACCGCTCAGCCCCATCCGTGTCTTCCCTTTTTACTGGCTCCCCTTTGAAGTGTTTTCAGCATTTTCTGAGGCCCATCCTGCCAGATCTGCTTAAGGACTTTGCCGCCACCTCCTTTGTCCATCCGGTCATTTCAGCTGAAGCGACACTGGGAGTTTTGCGGCTCTGGACACCTGGCACAGCAGGAGGCCACCTGAACACCTCCTCGTGCTTGCACCTTCCGCAGGTTGCCTTTGTATTGACTCTGGAAATCCCTCTCCAAAGCAGTTTCTATGAACATAGCATTACTTTTGTACTCATAAATCAAACTCAGAAAGGGGTGCTTGGGGGCTGTCATAAGTTGTCATAGATTTGTTCAAAGATAACTCAGTTTAAATTTAAAACCAAAACCAAAACGCATTATCCAGGGCAATTTTCTTTTAAAAATGGGAAATTAAGTTAGCTTCGGTGTCAAAATCACATCCTGGCCGTTGAAAGTGAATTATCCCGTCTAGTCCCTGGTCAGGACGTGATCAAAACACCTTTTCTGGCCATTTTGTGAAAGTAGATTTAGCCCAAAACATCTTGATAGGAGCACAGCCTCGAGGAAGTTTCCCGCTTGATACAAAGACGGGAGATTTATACACACACATCGCTTGAATGTGTGGCTGTTTCAGTGTTTGACCCAGGTAGCAAGATTCTCAGTCATTAAACATTTCAAAAGGGAAGGGCAGGGAGAAGGGAGCATCTTGAGGGGGGAAAAAAAATTTTTTTTTTTTTTCATTTAAAACTATGATACCTTTGTTGCATAAAGAAAAGTGGCCGGTTTTGTTTATCCGAGAGCCAGGGCACAGACCTTTTAAGTTCTTCGCCCTTGCGGCTTCTTCACAGAGATCTTCAAAATAGTGGCTCACTCTTCTCTCGGGTCCTGTCGGAGCGGGAGTCCTGGCCCCCGGTGGGTCGCAGGGAAAAGGGCACAGCTGTTCCTAAAAGTGGTACCATTCATGAGGCGCGGGCTGTCCGCAACTGCAGAGCTAGAGAAAGGCTCACTATTTCATAGAGAGTTTCTTTTCTTCAAAGAGGAAAGAGAAAGACGTGGCATTTACAGAAAAGAAAACGGGGCCCTTCAGCTTCATTTTTGCGACCACATCTGAATGGAAGGGGGGAGGGCCGTAGAGACGCGCGCAGCTGTGCCTTTAAGGGCTGGGTCACGTTCAGCGAGTTGAGCAGGATCAGCCAGAAAGCCCCACACAGGCCCCTCTGCCGGAACGGATACCTGCCTCCTTATGGCACCCTTGTTGTAAGTGACTGAATGATTGACTCTTTCTCCCCTCTCTCCCAGTTCATGACCAAGAACCCTACTATGCGCTTGGGCAGCCTGGCTCAGGGCGGCGAGCATGCCATCTTGAGACATCCTTTCTTTAAGGAGATAGACTGGACCCAGCTGAACCATCGCCAACTAGAACCGCCTTTCAGACCCAGAATCGTAAGTGTCCAGACCATCGTAGTGGACTTGCCTCTTTCTTAGATGCCAGAAGGTTCCACCAATGTGTGTTGAGCAACTAGATGGTTCCCATTGGGATAGCCACACCTGACGTTCAGCCCGACCCTCGACCCTCGGCAGGCAGCTCCACCGGCGGGCGGCTGGGCCCCTCGCTCCTGGGGCAACACCTCTCCTGCGCCCAGGTTCCTCCTCTCAGTCTGCACCTCTGGCTGCTACGGCGCAGAGCTCAGGCCAGAACAACTCCCTGCCTGGAGAAGTGCCAGGAGCACCAGAGGGGCCTCCCCAAGCTGGGTGGGGTGGCCTCGCTCGTAGCTGTGGGCCCAGAGAGCCATCGCGGGAAGGCGGAGATGCGGGCTAGCTGCCGATCACGAGTTAGGGGTGCGAGGGGTGCTCCGAAGGCAGAGAGAAAAGCATCATTGATGCAGGTAAGAGCAGTGAGCAGTCTAACAGCAGAAGTGATCTTTTCAGCATCATTATAAAGATGTAAAATACCAACATTCCCAACACACAATCAGTTTGACCTGTACTAGCTGGCTAGGATGGGCACCAGGCACCCAGAAGTGAACCGCTGCCTTTCTTGGGCATCCGCCTGCCCGCTGCCCGGGATGAGGGGAAGCTGTGCCGGCCGCGGGCTGCTGCTCACAGGCGAGTCGAGGGGCAGCCGTTCCCCACACTCAGCGTTTCTAAACAGCCTTTCGAGAAAATCTCTCCAAGCACATAGACCTGTGTACAAACAAGGGGGGCAAGTGTGAACGCAGCCTCCGCTGACACGTGTGAGCATGTGTGCCTCTGGGAGAGGCCTGCTGAGCGCCGGCCCTCGGTGGCCCGGAGTCGCCGGTTCAGGTGACCGAGTTCATTCCTTCGCCTCCGCCTGCGGCTGGCCTTACTCAGCAAGATTTTCATGGGGTCAGTGAATTGGTGGTTATCAAAGGCCATAATCACACAATGCAGCAGATTCCCTGTAAAACACTGTTAGTCATAATTGCTATAACTGTAAATAATGCCGCCGTGTGAGTGGCAGAGCAGTTCTCCCAACTCGCCGGGCTGAGACTCCTGGGCAACGAGTCTCAAGTGCATAATCTGACCCTTGTTTCCTTCTTGACAGAAATCCCGAGAAGATGTCAGTAACTTTGACCCTGACTTCATAAAAGAAGAGCCAGTTTTAACTCCAATTGATGAGGGACATCTTCCTATGATTAACCAGGATGAGTTTAGAAACTTTTCCTTTGTGTCTCCAGAATTGCAACCTTAGCCGGATGGGATGAGAGAGATGGCCTGAGACTCACAAGGGGATACAGATTTCCCGGGACAGCCGCCCTGGGGGAGTCCCCAGCATCAGCCTTAGAACAAGAACGTTAACGTCAGGGAGCAGGTGGGGAACTCGGAAGGACAGAACTTTGAGAGAGCAGCTATTCCAAGTCCTGAGGGAGCCATGGCACTGGGAACACTTAATACTGAGCTGAGAGTTCATGAAGAAATACACTGTTCAGCCTGTGAGCTTCCATGGCTGCTCTGGGCTTGGGATAGTAAGAGGAACCAAAAGGAGAGAAGGCGTGAAGAATGAACTAGATCCTAGAAAATACTCTGAGCGCACCAGAATATTTTCAGGGAACAAATCCAGACTGTGGATGGACCTGTCTGTACTCTTCTTGAAGCCAATGAGCCCCTAATACTGGCAGTCAGCCGGAAGTCTCTGGATGCTCATGAAGAATCTAAAGATAAGGACACGATGGCTTTCTAAACAGACTAATTGACCCTGAAGAAACAAAACATGGTATGCAAAACATTCATAGCCTGAAGCTCCACCTCGAAAGCAGACGTTGGGCACCAAGACAACATTCCAGTGTATTCTCTCATCCTTACCGTGATATTTATTGGGTGCCCAGTGAGCTAGTGTAAACAGATTTGTGTTCACCAAGCTTTCGTTCTCCAGTCCAGTCATTTACACGAATGGTGTTTGCATTCTGTGAAATTCCTCTCCGTGTCGCATATGTCATACTTCTCTGTCTGTCCTTCACTCTGTCTCCACATCAGGCTCACTGCCACAACAGCAGCTGCCGCACAATCAGCAGATGAACCAGAGGTGCTCGCTGCCTGCTGACTCGTGGACTCGTCATGGGGCAATGGGTCATTGTTGCTCCGAACCGCTCAGTGAAGAGTCGCCTGCCACTCACGTCAGTGACCAGACTTACGGCTTATTCCTTCGCGGTTTATTTAAATTATATTTTAAGAGACAGAGATGTTTGTTTGGTATGCATTTTAATAATTAGAAATGGCTCTTGTAAATGGGACATTTATCAAAGAAGGACCTTATCCTATGTATCTGTATGCAGTTGGAGAATTTTATCTGGCTGAAAATAAATGCATTTTGTAGCAAACGGAAATTTTTTTGGTCTAGAAGGATTTGTCCCATTCCCTCTATGAGAGCAGATATCCAGTGAAAATAATAGCTTTGAGCGGAATGGATAGGACTCTTGTCTTACAGCAAGTTCCTAAGAGGAAAGGTTGATGTAACCTTCTGTGTAGCCCTTAAGTGAACGTGGCCAGTCTCTTACTGACCAAAACTTCTGTTCCGGATCACAGTGATGACTGCTAAGCATTGCTGCAACAGCCTAGCCCCTGAACTCTCGGTAGCTAGATGTGATATTTATTTCTCGTTCACATAAACTGTAGTGCAAGTTCAGGGCCCTCTTCCATCTAACTACGCCGTCTGAAGAATGCAGCTTCCAAGGTTGCCATGGCAAAGAAGAGAGGACGGAGGAGGGGTTGCTGCCTAACTACCTCTCCAAGAAGGGCCATGCATCACCTTGCTCATGTTTGATTGGCCAGAACACGGCCTTCCACCGACTATGAACAGGATGGGCAGCTACAGCTACAGAGCAGCAGGGGTGCCTGGCCAGCAGTGGCCGTCTCTGCTGGGGTTGTTTTTATTGACAGTATTTCCTGTGTAGCCACTTAATTTTTTTGAGAGAGATTTTTTTGTTCCACTTATTTATGAATTCATTGGTTGATTCTTGTATGTGCACTGAACAGGGATTAAACCCACATCCTTGGCGTATGGGAGGACATGCTAACCAACTGAGTTAAAGGTGCAAAGTGACTTTTGAATGAGCTGAGTTGCTAGGAGCCTCCCTTTTACTTTTGTTCCTCACTGGGCCCCTCCTAGGCTCCCTCACCTACGTAATTTCACTAGATCGTCGATGTCCCTGGGAGGTAGGGCAGGTCATTCCACCACTACTCCCAGCGTGACTACCATGGCACAGTTTACAAATGAGAGGAAAAGAGAGGCTCAGAGGAGTCGAGTTATTGGTTGCCCAACGGTTTCAGACTTGGTAAAGAGTGAACCCAGTCTAGAGTCTAAATCTCTGAAGTACTAACCCAACAGACTTCTGGAAAGGGAGGGGTGGTTCTGCCCTTGGGACCTCGGGCCTTCATCATTACTTTGTCGTTCAGGGCCTCCCGCTGCTCTGTGGGGCTGATTAGCTTGCTATGGTTTATCCCACACCGGCGAAGAACCATGAAGAATAAAGCTTGCCTCCTGTGTGTGTTTACAAAATCCTTTATCAAGGCCCTGCAAGGGCCTCGCAGTCCTCTTTGATGAGTCTGCAGTCACTCAGCTTCCCTCTTCGCCATCGAGCCTGCTGCATGGGTCAGCTTGGGTTAAGTCCATTCTTTTAAGATAATTCCAGACCTATCAGACAGATTATCAACAGCCAAGCATTTTGCCTATGATAGGATTGCTGCTGCTTAATTTCTCTTTTATTGTGAGGAGAGAGGGGAGGTACAGGATGTTTACTAGAACTCGGAGACTCTGCTCCAGGGTCCGAGTTTGGCTTCCCATCTGTCATCCGTTCTCCCAAACCTTGCATCCCTCCTGAGGATCACAAGGCTGGCGGCCCGCCTGCACTCCCTGGGCAGCCTGGCCACAGCCATTGGATCAGGAGCTGAGTCTGCTGCTGGAACTGCTGGGTTCCCTGAGCTCAGTCGGCAGCATGAGGTCAAGATGAGGTCACATCGACCCTCCCCTTCCTCTTGGATAAGGAATATTTAGAGATCCTCAGGTCCTATCCCCTTGCCGTCCTCCCCAGCAAGTCCTCATCCCCACACCCCAGCGTCTCTACCCTCTCGTTACTCCGCTCTGCGCCGGGCATGCAGGCTCAAGTGCTGGACAGGATAACGACCAAGCCTTTGCTTTGAGATAAGCCTTTGACTGCGAACGATGTTTTCACTTCACAATAATGGCTCACATGTAGTGCACGTTTATTATCTGTTCCAACCCCTCTAAATGCATTTACTCATTCGATACCCCAAGAGGTGTGGACGCTCATCTTCAGTGTACAGATGGGGACACTGAGGCACAGCAAGATTAAGCAGCTGTCCAAAGTCACACAGCTACATCAGCAGGGTCGGGCTTTGGGCCAGGCGGTTGAACTCCCGAGTTCCTCCTCTTATAACCCAGTTTGGTGAGGTTCTTCTACTAAGACCAATGCTACTTTTCCCACTTTTGTGGGGTTTTAGAATAAAAAGTATGTAGAACTGGGATTAGCAGGGAGCACTAAATAAACTGCCAACTGGGCAGGACAGTACTAGTCATCAATCTGTGGGACCATTTATCAGCAGTGAGATTAGGGGATTTGCATGTCAAAGGCCTAGCACTAGTAACACCCTGACCCCAAAGGAACTGGGGCAGGACAGAGTGATGCAATTGGACCTTGGGCCTCCCCACGGAAGAGGAAATAGTCTGGGTCACACTGCGTGCTGTAGACTGTCTGCACGCCTGTGGTAACCTCGGAGCCTTGGTGGGGTTTCCAGTCCTTTTCTCTCCCTGGAGGGGAACCAGCCTACTCACGGATTAGTAACTCTTCACCCACCCTGCTGGCTCCTGGGCTTCACAGGAAGAAGGCATGGAGCCGGCGGCCTAGCTGGGCAGCTGCGTCTTACAGCCACAAAGCTGATGGAGCTTGGTAGCAAAGAGCAAAAGTAAAACACCCCATTGTCCGTTTATTGATCTTAATCGGGTGCAGGTTACCTTGATTCCAGCCACAGATTTGGCCTTGACCACATCACAGGCCAATGCCACGAAGCGTTGTGTCTTCTTTATCTCCAGGTTGGGTTATCCTGATGACTTAATCTGGCTGGGTTGACTTTAAAATGACTAGACAGCCCACTGTGACTGCCCCTGGCTCAGTCACACTGGGTCCTATCACTTCTCATTTTACGTCATCTGAGGATAAGACCCAGACACAGCCTGAGGCATTCGCAGGGGAATCGAGCCCTGTGGTCACAGGTTTTCCTGAACTGAATTGTGGGTTGAACAAGCGAGCCAGGGTGCAGCTTAAACTGCACGCTGAGGGGCTCGGTGGTCTCCCCTCACTCCTGTGTTGAAACAGAACCGAAGGTAGGGGTGCCCCCCTCAGCTTCATCCTGTCGCAGCTGCCCATCACCTCCTCCCCGGGTCAGTTCTCTCTCCTGGCTTCCTCACTCTTCACTCCCCAGCGCAAGTCAGTCCTGGACTCGCCCTTTCTCTAGCGTTTGATTCCAGAGCCCAACCTGTCATACGAGCCAGTTTTCCAACCATCAAGAGGACGCAAAATCCTGATTTGCATATTTTATAGGCTCTTTTATAGTCCAGGAATGGCAGCCACTATTGTATGTCTCCCATTATCCCTGCACCCGCGGCGTCACCCTGTGACAGCTCCTGCCCTGGCATTGACTGCCCGTCAGCGCAACCCTGCCCACCGGGCCCACCATGTTCCGGGAGGCAAGACGTCGCAGGGGTGGAGAGCACATTCCTGTGTGCTGAGCCTGCCCCTTCCTGTGTGTTCTTGGAAGTCAGTCTTTCCCCCAGATCTCAGTGTTCGCATCTGTGAAATGGGAGTGAGGCCAGCGCCAGCCCACCTCGCTGTCATGGCAGGCACTAGCGATACTGTGGAGCACGTGCGCCAGGGCTGGGACGTAGCATTGCCCAGTCCCTGTTAGCGATCACCGCTGCCAGCTATCCAGGGAACCAAGGGGTCCGGGTGTGAGAGCAGCAGAGAATGGGCAGGGTGGGACACACTTCATCTGCCCTTCTCACCGATGGGGGCGCTGTGCCAGCTCCAAGTTAGAGGGGTTTTGCTTTTCTAACTACTTGGCTGCAGAGATTGCTCAGGAGACTGTTTCAAAAACTTCTAACAAATTGTGAGTCCATCCTGACTTGACTGAAATGCAGGATCCATACTGAGTACTGATCAGTATTGAAACTGTGCTACCCACCCTAAAAAAAAAAAGGCGAAGAAATGTCCGTGGTTTTTCACAACTGACTCTTCCCTCAAGCCTTTCAGGAGGACCGCTCTTCCTGCGGATTTAACCCGAAGGTGCATTTCACTCACTTCTCACCAAATAACACAGATGCCACATCTTCACACCCATACCTGCCGGGGACCCTCTGGATCCTCAGCAAGCCTGTGGACCAGTTCAGAAAAGAGGGGAGATGTGCTCAAAAAGTCCACCAAGTCCTCGCATGCCGCAGGGTTTGAAGCCAGCGACAGAATGGAGGTTCTTCCCTTCCTAGAGGGAGCTATACGTGAAGCAGCTTTCTAGCAAAGTGAGAAGTGCCGTAGTCCTGTGTGTTCCTGCTCGAAACGGCCACGGCGCCCTGTCCTCAGGCTCTGCCTCCCAGACCACCCGGCGCTGCCTTGCTCCTGCCACCAGGGCGGTCCTTACCTCACAGGGGTTTCATTCTTCCCAGGCCTGGCCCAAGCTAGAACGTTTTGGCTGGACAAAGTGAAGACTGTGCACTCAAATGTTCACGTGGGTTGTGGAGGTTAAGACAGGAATCTTCTCTGGAGACATTTCAAGTTAGAAACCAGGGATCGTCGAGTGGTCATTTGATCTAAGCGTGTCAGCAAAATCTGGATAATCCCTCAGGATCTTCCAGCCTGTGCTCTTGTGACAGAAGGTGAGCCGAGGGCCATGGCTGATCAGCCTCCACTGGCGACACCAACCCGGTACCACTCTCACCACACACAGAACCTCCCTCCCTTGGATTGCCTCCCTGCCATCTCTGTACAGCCTCACACACTGGCACACCCACTCTCTCTGCTCTCTCAACCCCAAAGTCCTCGTGGGCTCGCACTCTCTTGAAATGCTTTCTAAAGTTAAGATCAGCGCAAGATTACAAGCAAGATAAGCTCTTTCTAGCCACTGATGATAGAGTACTTGTGAATAGAAGGGAAAGCCGTATTCAGGGAGCTCTGCTCCCTGTTTTGTTTTTCCTCAAAGAAAGTGATTTTCAAGACGAAAAGGTTGCCCTGGCCAGTTTGGCTCAGAGGTAGAGCATCGGCCCATGGACCAGTGAGTCCTGGGTTCAATTCCAGCCAAGGGCACGTACCTCGGTTGTGGTTCAACCCCAGCCCTGGTTGGGGTTGTGCAGGAGGCAACCAGTTGATGTATCTCTCTCATGTTGATGTTTCTCTCTCTCCTTGTATTCTCCACCTGAAGATAGATAGAAAAATACCCTCAGGTGAGGATTAAAAGGAGAAAAAAAAATTTTTTAAGACAAAAAGGTTGTAACAAATTTTATAGCCCAAGGTCTATAAAGAGATCATATAAAGCATTCAGGTACATACAGGCAAAATTTCAGAAGAGAATTATTTAAGCAGTAATTTGTGAGCATCAGTGGAGCAATGATCATTAGGACAGAGCAGAGATTTATACAAACAAGTCAGTC